CCGCACTGCGCCCCAGCCGCCAAAAAAGGAGGGGCCCCGGCGCCCCGCCAGCCCCAGGCCCACCGGCGGGCTCTGGCAGCGACTCCCACCTTCCTGCCCGGCCCAGCTCGGAGCCACTCGGAGCAGCACCAAGTGTGGAGCCCGGAGCCCATCAGCCCACCGAGTCAGGGCATCGGGCCCAGCCTCCTGCTTCCCTGAGCCCCCTGCAATCGCCACTGGATGCAGACCTCTCCTTCGCCTTCTGTCCCAGCCTGTTGTGCAGCATCGCTGTTATTCTGCTGCTGTGCCCCACCCCAGAGGTGGCTGCATCTCAGCGCTGGGTGAGGGATCCTTGTATAAACAGCGCCCTCGCCACCCCCCAGAGGTGGCTGCATCTCAGCGCTGGGTGAGGGATCCTTGTATAAACAGCGCCCTCGCCACCCCCCAGAGGTGGCTGCATCTCAGCACTGGGGGAGGGATCCCTGTGTGACAAGTGCGTTGGGTGCCTGCGGGGTGGACGCACCAGAGAAGCAGCACCTGATCGTGGGTGCAGAAGGCAGGTCCCCTCTCCGCCCCAGGTCACACTCTCCTGCCAGGCCGGGTTTGAGACTCCAGACCCCGGAGCTGCTGCCTCCATACCACAAGGCCCCTGCTACGACCCCCCGAGCTGGCTGGGCCCCAGGGGCTGCCCCGGGCTGGAAGCAGGGCAGGGATTGAGCAGCACCTCCCAGTGCCGCAGTGTATGCCGGCTGGATCTCGGCTGAGGGCAGCCTCCCCCGCACCCCGCCAAACACCGGGCTCATCCCAGCCCCCTATAAAGCCCCATAGGGGAGCTGAGCGCCCCCTGGTGGAGAAGCCTAGGTGTTGCCCAATACGTGCAGCAGCTCCCCTCCACACAGGGCCTCTGCCCAGGGGGCTGCGGTCAGAGCACGGGCCACGGGAACCAGCGCGTACTGGGGCAAGGGGGGGTCCCCTAGGCCTGGCCACCAAGCTTCAGACACCCCTCCCACACCTGCTTCCCGGTGGCCCTGTGTCTGCTGGGGGGGTCACTGCACAGCGCCAGGGCCCTGCGGGCACGACCCCTCCCCCAC